CATCTTGTGAGAGGCTTCTCTCATGTCCTTGCACTGGAAGCTGGAGCTGACAGATGAGAGACCACCCCACCTCGTGGATTCGAACCGCTGACCTTCAGGTCAGCAGTTCAACCGGAACAAGGGTTTAACCCATTGTGCCATCGCAGCTCCTTACAAATGACTCAGTTAAGAATGGGAGTGAGATGACAGGAAGTGAGAGAAATCTGCCCCTAGGAAGGGAAGTTCACTCCTAAAAGATTTATCATCGGGGAAGATGTCCCCACTGAAACTTTAGCACCAATCCTTGTTTCTACAACAATGCACATTCTTCAAAATCGCATGTACAGAAAGTGAGATGAAATCTTCTGAACAAGGGCTCAGAGTGCAAAACAAACACCACAGGGGTGTTAACCCTTCCCTATGCTATCCAAAGTGTGTGTGTGTGTGTGTGGCTGGAGTTATACTTTAAAAATGTACCAACTAAAGAACAAACCTACAGAGCTTATCGTGTTTGTAACTTGGGGACTGCCTTGGAGAATGATGGACTCGCCTTCTTTGGGCTCTTCTACACAGCCCTATATCCCAAAATATCAATGCAGAAAACTCCACATTATCTAAGTGTGGACTTAGATAACCCAGTTCAAAGAATATACTGTGGGATCTTCTGCCTTGATATTCTGGGATGTAGGGCTGTGTGGAAGGACCCATAGACATCTTTAAACAAAGGTTGAATGGACATCTTTCAGGAACACAATAATTATAAACTCTTGGCTTGCAGGAGGCTGGACTAGATGGCCTTTAAAGCCTCCTTCAATGCTAAGAGTTTTTAATTCTACACCACAAACACATGAGAAGAGGTGAGATAGTAAAAAGACAACCAAAGCTATCACTGACCACACATTGATCCTTCCACACAGCTGTATAAAATCCACACTGAACTGGACTATATGGCAGTGTGGACTCAGATAATCCAGTTCAAAGCAGATATTTTGGGTTATCTGTCTTGTTATTCTGGGTTATATGGCTATGTGGAAGGGCCCCAGACTGCTAGCTTTGCAGAATGTGACACTGAAAATCATTCATGTCTAGAACTCTTCCATTTGCTGGGGTTACTATTCCCACAGTATGTTTGTCTGCTCCTTTTCATAGAATCGTAGAAAAGGTATAGCAGAAAAGCCATATGTTGGGATAGGCACGAACATCTAATGAGATAAGCATGAATCCTGGGGACTAATGTAGTATAGCAGTTCAAGTGTTGGAATATGTGTGTATGCCTTCAGGATGCCTGTTAACTTATTGCAACCCCATAAATTTCATAGGGTTTTTTAAGGCATTGAGTATTCAGAGGTGGTACTGCCAATTCCCTCCTTTGAAGTGTATAACCTAAAACACTTGGTATTGATGGTTTCTAAGTACTAACCAGGGCTGAATCTGTTTAGCTTTGCAGGGTGCATCCAGACAGCCTCTTTATTGCAGTAGCCCCCGCAATAAAGAAGGGGCTGTCCAGATGACGTCCTGGACAAATACAAATTAATTTGCTACAAACCAGGAAAACCCTGGTTTTGAAAGGCATCGAATAAACCCACTATTTCCAGTGTCTGGACTAGACTCCAGACACCATTCACACAATTTTACTGACTAAATTAGTTCAGAAAACTGTGGGAATATCCACCTCCTTCCCCCAAAGTCCTTTGAAAAGTAAAAAAAAAAATTACCTGGCCTCCAGTACACTTTTGCAACAGCTCTCCCAGAGCACAGAAATGACACACCAGGAGAGTGGGGAGGGGGGGAGCAATTTTCCTCCCTGCTCTCCCCCCCCCCCCCCATTTCCCACTCTCCTGGGGCATCATTTTTATATGCCGGGAGAGCTGCTGCAAGTGTACTGGAGGCCAGGTAAGTTTTCTTTACTGTTCAAAGGGCTTTGGGGGCGGGTCCCCAGAAAGCATGAATGATCCACCCCAGAACGCATGCATGATCCTGGGATAAAATGCAAACGATCCTGGGATAAAGGGCTGTCTGGAACTGCCCCAAGACAGGACTAAATCTGGTGTCTTCAGGATATTGACTCGCAATGTGTTTGTGTGTATATGTGCCTTCCAGTCACCTGTTGACACATGGCAATGAATTTAATAAGGTTTTCTTAGGTAAGGGATACTCAGAGGTGGTTTTTCCAGCTCATTTCTCTGAAATACACCCTACAGCACTTCATACCATCCAACTACTAATCAAGGGCTGATCCTACTTAGCATCAGATGGAATAGACCAGTTTTCAAATCACCATCCAGCCAGTAGGTCAAGTTACTCTGCCACCTTCCACACAGCTGTATAAAATCCAGATTATCTGCTTTGAACTGGATTATATGGCAGTGTAGACTAATGGTCCTTCCAGACAGGCCCTATATCCCAGGATCTGATCACAAGTTTTCTGCTTTAAACTGGATTATATGGGTCCCCACTGCCAGATAATCTGAGATAAACAGAAAACGTAGGATCAGATCCTGGGATATAGGGCCTGTCTGGAAGGGTTCTAGGGTCCCTTCCTCACAGCTGTATAAAATCCACACTGAACTGGATTATATGGTAGTGTAGACTCAGACAGCCCAGTTCAAAGCAGATATTGTGGGAGTTTCTGCCTTGATATTCTGGACGATAAGGCTGTGTGTTAGGGCCCTAAGAGGAAGGCAAGGGCAAATCTCAGGCCCCTTTTACACTGCCATATAATCCAAATTATTAAAGCTTTGATCTGCTTTGAACTGGCCTTCATGAGTCTACAGTGCCATATAATCCAGTTAAAAGCAGATAATCTGGATTCTCTATGGAAGTGTAGAAGTGGCGTGAGACTAAATCTTGTCAAGATAAAACTCTATGGTCACCATAAATCAGAGTAAATGTGAAAGCACATGACGCCAATAAATATGCATAAACAGTGAAGCTACCTTGGTTCCTTCTTCTTAACTAGCTGAAGTGAGAAAAGCAGAACTCACCAACAGTCACGGAAGTTGGAGAGGATTCCCAAGTGATAATTAAAGTGCTTTGAAATGCAGAGGTGATTTCCACCTAACACATCTATACTAGCCATCTGGAATTGAACTGACCTGTGTGTAAGGGGGGGGGGGGATACTGAAGTGTGTCACTTCAATGATTGAAACACATTGCTTTTCTTATTATTCCACATTGGCTTTTATACAACATGATTTATTAATCAGCTTATTTTAGCAGATAGATAATGCAATATAAATGTAATTGCTACCTGGACAAACGTCCCTACAGATAATACCCACTTTCTGACATTTGCTACCCCAACACCTGACATGGCCCCTTCCACACAGCTGAAATCCCACATTATCTACTTTGAACTGGGATATATGGCAGTATGGACTCAGATAACCCAGTTCAAATCAGTTCAAATCAGATGCTGGAAATGTGAACTTAACGTTGGAATATTTTATAATGTGTGGTGGCCTTTGCAGAAAGGCCCAGAAATACTGTACTCAAATACATCTGATGCTGGAAGACATTCAACATATGGTTTATTATTTTTTTAAAAAACTAACTATTACTATATTTATACAGCAGCATGTATATAGATGGCATTTTATCAGTAAAACAAGCCAAAACACTGGGTCCTGCCAAAGCCATATAATCTAAAATAAATGTATGCACTCACAGAGGGAAGAAAGGAACGATAACATTTTGTTTTTGTGTGTGCTTTTAAGTCAGTTCAGACTTATGTTGGCCATAAATGAATCATGGTTTGTCTTGGCAAGAATTGGCCAGAGGTGTTTGCCATTGCCTTACTTTGAGGCTGAGAGTGTGTGACTTGTTTATGCTGGTTAAGAAGAAATCTCCAATTAGCTTTAACAATGGAACATCTTAATTTCCTTCTCCCAACAATGATGTGGCCAGATCAAAGCAGATATTGTGGGATTTTCTGCCATGATATTCTGGGATATAGGGTTGTGTGGAAGGGCCCTGAATATGGACTCAAATAACCCAGTTCAAAGCAGATTTTGTGGGATTTTCTGCTTTGATATTCTGGGATATAGGGCTGTGTGGAAGGGCCCTCAATATGGACTCAGATATCCCACTTCAAAGCAGATATTGTGGGATTTTCTGCCTTGATATTCTGGGATATAGGGCTGTGTGGAAGAGCCCTGAATATGGACTCAGGTAACAAAGTTCAAAGCAGATATTGCGGGATTATTCGGGGCTGTGTAGAAGGGCCCTAAGGACCTTCAGATACTGCCACATAAAATCCAGATTATCTGCCTTGAACCGGATTATATGGCTGTGTAGACTCATATAATCCTGTCCATAATCCTGTTCTTGCAGCAACACCAGAGGCACTCCAAGTGGCTAGCAACTGGTCAAAGTACCGTACATTTAATCAACTACCAAGCTTGCAAACTTTGTGTTTTGTTTGTTTGTTTGTTTGTTTTAAAAAATGCAATGCAACTGTTTGGTCTGCCCCTAACATGATAAATAAATATCCTGTCCAAAACAGATTATGTGGATTATCTGCTTTGATAATCTGGATTATAAAGCAGCGTAAAAGGGGCCTAAAACGACAACTCGCAGGATTTCATGCTGCATAGTGTCAAACCGCATTAATCCTGCCGTGTAGATGCTTACCATTCCCTCCTTTCTGCTCCCACCACTTCCTCCCCTCCAGCATTACTAACCCGGACGGAAACTAGTGATGGGGTGAATGTCAGGAGGGCTTTTCTGGTGACTGGAGAAATGTCTGAGCCCTTCTTCAACTTCCTTTCCTTCGAGAAGTCTGACTCAGGGCCCTTTCCGGGGCGGGAGGAGGAGGAGGAGGAGGAGGAGGAGGTGGGGGAAATCTTCATTCACTCACTTCAACAAGGAGGCGTGGCTTGGGGAAAAGGGGGCGTGTTGAGTCGGTGACGTCACTCTCCTTATATGGACACCGCCGGGCGGCTGCGGCTCGCGTTCATTCAATAGCGAGAGGAGGGCAGCAGGAATCCCCTTTGCTCGGGGTTCCAAAGCGCATGCGCGGCGGGAGGGGAAGGGAGGGGCGCTATTTAAAAGCCCGAAAGGGGAAAGCAGAGGAAACCACAAGCTGTGGAAGATGAAGGTGACGGCGCTGAGCTCCCGGCAGCTCCGCCGGCTGGTGCGGAAGGAAGCCGGGCGCTGCTTGGTGCTGGATTGCCGGCCGTACCTCTCCTTCGCGGCGTCTTGCCTGCGCGGGTCGCTGAACGTCAACCTCAACTCCGTGGTGCTGCGCCGGGCTCGCGGAGGCGCCGTGCCTTTGCACTTCGCAGTCCCGGACGAGGCGGCGCGAGGCAGGCTGCTGCTCGGGGCAGGAGAGAGGCGCGAGCCCGGGCGCGAGGCGGCAGACGAAGAAGAAGAGGAGGAGGAAGCCACAGCGCAAGCGCGGAGGCTCAAAGCGGTGGTGGTCCTGGACCAAGGCACGCGGCACTGGCGGAAGCTCAAGGGCGGCAGCACGGCCCAGATCGTCCTCAACACCCTCCTGGCCGCCTTGCCCGAGCCTGGCGCCAAGGTCTGCTTCCTCAAAGGTAAGGCGAGCCCTGGGATTAGCAGGAAGAGGCGCTTTGCAAGGTCTCCAACAAACAGGGGCAAACTTGGGCCCTCCAAGTGTTTTGGACTCCAACTCCCACCATTCCTAACAGCCTCAGGCCCTTTCCTTAAGCGGCTGAGGGGCAAAAGGAAGGGGCCTGAGGCTGTTAGGAATGGTGGGAGTTGGAGTCCAAAACGCCCGGAGGGCCCAAGTTTGCCCCTGCCTGATCTATAGTCTCGAGTGCATTGGTAGTACTATATCATAACTTTGTTTTGACCCCACTTTGGAAGGTCTCCATGCGATGGGATCGTGGGAGTTGTAGTTTTCCAAGGTCTCTCGCCTTGGGAAGCAAACAAACTTCAGGAATGGATGTATATTGGCACCTTTTTGTTTTGGAAGCGCGCAATGCAATGAGATCCCCGGGGAGAGGTAGTTTTTCAAGGTCTACACAGCCTTTGAGTGCATCTGCACTAGTATCACACTATGCAATCGCATGAGTTGTAGGTTTACAAGGTCCCTAGCCTTGAGTCCATCTGTACTGTGTCGTGAATGCGGTTTTAACACCCGCTTTGGCTCAATGCGATGAGATCCCGGGAGTTGTAGTTTTACAAGGTCTCTCGCCTTGGGAAGCCAACAAACTTGTAGAATGAATGTATATTGGCACTTTTTTTGATTTGGAAGCGATGACATCCCGGGAGATGTAGTTTTATAAGGTCTACACAGGGTTGAGTGCATCTGCACTATTGTCGTCGCATGGGCGCAATGCTACGAGGTCGTGGGAGTTGTAGTTTTGCAAGGTCCCTAGCTTTGAATGCATCTGTATTATTCCAAACTGCAAATCGCACGATTCCATAGCCTAACCACTTTGGCGCAATGCTATGGGGTCGTGGGAGTTGTAGTTTTGCAAGGTCCCTAGCCTTGAATGCATCTGTACTATGTCGTGAATGCGGTTTTAACACCCGCTTTGGCTCAAAGCGATGAGATCCTGGGTGCATCGGATCCTGGGAGTTGTAGTTTCCCGCGATTTCGAAGCCTTCTCTGTCTGGTGTCTCGCCAAACTACAACTCCTAATTCCATAGCGTTCAGCGGGAGCTAAACTGCATTAGATCTACAGTAAGGATGGATTTGAACCCTGCCAAAGGGATGGGGACAAGCCGAAGCGGCATCCCGAATGTAGGGAAAGGTCTCCCAAAAAGTGGGAGCTGCGGTGGAGCAATGGGTTAAACCCTTGTGCCGGCTGACCTGAAGACCCTGATGGTTGGGAGTTCGAATCCCCGAGACGGGGTGAGTTCCCGTCTGTCAGCCCCAGCTTCCCATATGGAGACATGAGAGAAGCCTCCCGCAGGATGGTAACACATCCAGGCGTCCCCAGGGGCAACGTCCTTGCAGATGGTCAGTTCTCTCATACCAGAAGCTACTTGCATTATATTCTCTTTGCTTCTGACACGATTTTTTAAAAAGTCAAAAAGTAATTCCCTCCCAGCTATGGTCCAAGGGGTTTAATAATTATGCCTTTGAAATAATGCAATGTTAATGAATTCCCCCCAAAAATTGTAGTAAAATCTGGAATGCAAACAAATAATGGTTTTGGCTTTGCCTGCCTTTAGTTGTGCAGACTTCTGTCAACCTGGCTGGATTGTTCTCAAACAGGAATTGATTTGTTTTGGAAGGCTTTCATGGCCGGAATCATTGGGTTGCTGTGAGTTTTCTGAGCTGTATTGCTATGTTTCAGAAGCAGTCTTTCCTGAAGTTTTCCCTGCATCTGTGGAAGGCATCCTCAGATGTTGTGCTCATTCAAGGCCAGCTGACACCTCCCAAAAAGGATTCCCCAAGGCAGGCCTTGCAGCTGAAAGGCTATTCAAATCAGGACAGTAAATAAAGAACAAGACTGAAAAAATAGGGGAATTCCAGGCAGGAAACAATCAGGGCCAGTTAACACCTCTCGACAAAAGATTCCCTCCAGGTGGGAAGCAGCCAGGCTTTGAAGCTGCAAGGCCATTCAATGCTAATCAAGCTGGCCAATTGCAACATTCACACCTATCTCAAAGAGATAAGAGTTTATTCTCCCAGCCTGGGCATTCCACAGATATATAAATCCCACTTTCCTAGTTTCCAACAGACCTCACAACCTCTTGAGGATGCTTATGCAGCTGAGAGAGAAAAGGAAGGGGCCTAAGGCTGTTAGGAATGATGGGAATTGAAGTCCAAAACACCTGGATATAGAAGTTTCTGCACTCCGTTGCAAAGGTTTATAGCTGATCTCAGACACTTTCGAGATATAAATGTAATTTTGGGTTTTCTGCCAAAAGAAGGGATTCCAGAGGTACGATTCGGCTTGCCCAAAACCCAAACACAGGTGCGTCCTCAGTCTGTACATCTTTGGAGTTGAAATGTAGCTTTTTTTAAGATTAGAGATCCTTAAGGCTGTGGCTAAGTAAGAACACTAAATAGGGGGGGAGTATTTCCCCCCTAAAAGTTTTGCAATTGTGGAATCGAAGAGGAATTTGAAAAGGAAATAGCTTAATAGCTTTTTGTAACTGTCTTTTATGTGTACTGTACACCGCCATGAGTCGCCCGTAAGGGCTGAGAATGGCGGTTAATAAGTGCATCAAATAAATAAATAAATAAATAAATAAATAATATGTTAGCTTGGCATTAAAGTATGCCATTTGGAAGTGGCTGATTATGATTAGTATTGATCCTGATTGGAAAAAAATTCCAGTCTAAGGTCGCTTCTCTTTAAAAATAAAACATGTCCTTGAAGCAGTAATTTAATTATGTTTGTGTGGATAAGTGTCCATAATTCCAATATTCTGGGGTCTTTTTTCTAATGTTGCCTTTTAGCCATTCCACACAGCCATATAACTCAGAATATTATGTTGTAATATGTTTAATATGGTTTTAATTTGTATTTATATGTATTTATATGTCTTTATAATCGTGTGTGTGTTAATGTTTATACTAGGATGATTTTATGCTTTGTCTGAATCTGGGCTGATGCATGTTTTATGGGCTGTATGGCCATGTTCCAGAAGCATTCTCTCCTGACATTTCACCTGCATCTCTGGCAGACATCCTCAGAAGTTGTAAGGATGCCTGCCATAGATGCAGGCGAAATGTCAGGAGAGAATGCTTCTGGAACATGGCCGTACAGCCCGTAAAACAGGCAACAGCCCAGTGATTCCGGTCATGAAAGCCTTTGACAATACTTTGTCTGAATGTTTGAATTTTATGTATGTCTTATGTTTAATCGTTTTTAATTAATTTTAAGTTCATAGTTCTATGTAGTAATTAGTTATTATGATTTATTTGTGTACTGTATGTTGGCATTGAATTTTTGCCATTAGTATGTTGTAAACCACCTTGCATCCACCCAGGGATATAAATACAGTAAACAAATAATACAATAATAAAACAAATAAATATCAAGGCAGAAAATCCCACAATATCTGCTTTGAACTGGGTTACTTGAGTCCACACTGCCATATATCCCAATTCAAAGCAGATAATGTTGGATATTATTCAGCTGTATGGAAGGGGCCTTAGACTCTGTCGGAGGCAATTTGGTAGCTTTGGTAAAGATACCTATAAATGGAAGAAATGGGGAAGAGACCAAGATGATTGCACTTGTCAAAACACCAGAATGCATTGAAGTGAAAGAGAGTCTCATGTAAACCCTGCAGTGCCACCTAAGGGGCAGCGCTCTGCAAATTACTAAATTAAGTATCTTACTAAATATACTACTACTTTGCTCTATAAATTGAGCACCTACTCGGCAAAGGAACAAGTAAATCATTACCTCTTTGGAGGTGGCAGTGGGGTAATTCTTTTTGTGAGGACTCATTTAAAGTCTGTGCTCATCCCATTAATGGTATTAAGTGGACTACGTGGGTTTTTTAAATGTAGTAAAATAATTGGATTTTTCCTCCTCTGAGCTGACAAGGTAATTCGTTTTTTAAAAAATATTTTCTTCAAGTCCTTGTGCATCTTTTCCAGTATGCTAGTGCTTCCCATCTAGAAGATGGATGCAAACAGGGTTTTTTTTAATGAGTGCAGTGCAACTCCATAAGAAGATTGCTAATACGGTTCCCTCTCAGCAGTCATTTAGACAATATAAGGATTTCCTTCTTTTGGTATTCACATTCTGGTTCAGGGTTGGATTGTTTTTGGCTTTAGCACTTCAGCACAATATTAAATTGTTTGGGATGCCATTCCTCTGAGTTTTCCATTCCCAATTTCCTTCAGAATATCTACTTTACATGTATAAATCAAACTCCTATACAAGTAAAGGTATGATTGGGTGGGGGGGTCAAAATTATGGCTTTTTGAGTTACGTTGAGGGTTACTTTGCAAAAAAGGGAAAAACAATGCCAACTCAGTGCTATCTAAGCCACCAGTGGCGCAATGGGTTAAACCCTTGTGCTGGCAGGACTGCTGACTGATCAGTCAGCAGTTCGAATCGGAGGAGAGGGGGTTGAGCTCCCCCTGTTGGCTTCAGGTCCCCATGTGGGGATATGAGAGCAGTCCCCCACAACGATGGTAAAACATCAAACATCTGGGCATCATCCTTGCAGACAGCCAATTCTCTCATACCAGAAGTGACTTGCAGTTTCTCAAGTCACTCCTGTCATGAAAAAAAGTGGGTTGGTGTGAATTTTCCAGGCTGTATGGCCATGTTCCAGAAGCAGTCTCTCTTGACATTTCACCCACATCTATGGCAGGCATCCTCAGATCTCACAACCTCTGCCATAGATGTGTGTGAAATGTCAGGAGGGAATGCTTCTGGCACATGGCCATACAGCCCGGAAAACTCACAGCAACCCAGTGATTACAGCCATGAAAGCCTTCGACAACACAATGCCAACTCAGATGCCAGCCACTCCTGCCCAGTTATTCAAAAAGCCCAGAAATGATACTACTGTAGAGAGAATACAGTCGGTCAGTTCTTCTTAGTATGGACTAAGCTCTCTATTTAGAAAAGTGGATGGTTCTTTTTTTGTAAGAGTCTAGGTACAGTACTCGCATTGACCCATGGATCAGTCAACCCAGGTTTAGCATTGATCTTTTGACTAAAATTTCTAGACTTATACATGAGTATATACTATATAGCAGGCATGGACAAACTTCGGCCCTCTGGGTGTTTTGAACTACTGGCTGTTAGGAATGGTAAGAGTTGAAGTTCAAAGCACCTGGAGGGCTGAAGTTTGCCCATGCCTGCTACATAGGGTACATCATACACACCATCATTTAGCCACCCTGAGTGTGCAAGAGTGACTGATTCTATTTATTCTTTAGATCATTCCTCTTTCATACAGTGTGTTTTTCTGGTCTACAGTTATGGAGCGAGAAGTTGAGCCATTCATATCCAGGTTATCTTTGAAACTGGTGTTGATCTTCCAGTTCTTGTTTAGAGCAAGAACATTTACGCATGTTCTGTTGTAATAGGAAACTCTCAGCATGTGAGAGAAAGAAAATATTGTGCTTTAGTCGGAATGTATGCCTACCCTTAAACTGAATGCAGTAATTTTCTGCCACTGGCTGTTTTTATCGTCTAGAAACTGGCTGCGTTGAGAAATTGTGTCTGAGTCACAAAACCAAAACTGTTGCTGTCCTCCAGACTCTTGCTATGTTTTTTACCTTTCTCTGGATGTCCCCCATAAAGTAAGAGGATTTATCCCAAAGGGTTTTGTCTGCTTAGTGATGAGAAAGTAAATACACTGTGAAGTTCCTAAGTGGGGTTGGACACAGTCGTAAGGAGATAAGGGCATGAGTCAGAATCCATGTCAGCTAACAGCTACCATAAGCAGCTCCTGTCCTGCACTTCGGGGAATTACTTTTACTGCTCAATGGCATGATTCTTGTTTTCTTTTTCCCCTTCTCTACTGTTTTTGAAAGCTTTCAGGTTTTGTTAATTTAGTGGCTCCGATCTGTAGAAAGGGGGGCAAATGCTGTGTGTATTTTTACCTTTACATACGGGCAGTACCAAGTTACAAAAAGGTTCTGTAGGTTTGTTAAGCTGTATTCCTTTGTAACATGGAACAGATACTGTACTCTTTTAAGTGTAACTCCACATAGTAATGGTAAAGGTTTCCCCTGACATTAAGTCTAGTCATGTCTGACTGGGAGTGAGTGCTCATCTCCATTTCTAAGCCGAAGAGCCGGCGTTGTCCATAGACGCCGCCAAGGTCATGTGGCTGGCATGACTGCATGGAACGCCGTTACCTTCCCACCAAGGTGGTACCTATTCATCTACTCACATTTGCATGTTTTCAAAATGCTAGGGTGGCAGAAGCCGGGGCTAACAGCGGGAGCTCACCCCACTCCCTGGATTTGAGCCATCAGCCACGTACATACATATAGGCACAATAGATAGATATGTATGCTTTGAGTAGCATAGGAGAGGGTTAAGACCCCTGTGGTGTTTGTTTTGTTGTTTTGTTGTTCACCTCACTTTCTGTTCCTGTGAGAACTGGATTTTGAAAAACATGGCTTGTTATGGAAACAAGGATTGGTGAGAAAGTTTCAGTGGAGACACCTTTTCCCCATGATAATGCTTTCGGGAGTACATTTCCTTTCCTGGGCGTAGATTTCTCTCACTTCCTGCTGTCTCACCCTTATTCTTAACTGTGAGTTGTTTGTAAGTCGAATATTTGGAACCCGGGGACTACCTGTATTTTCGTGGGTCTGAAGCCAAACTGGGATTCAAGCATGCAATTAACTTTTCTTTTACAAACACTGATAATTATGAGATCTACCCTTGAGCTATAGACAATATAGATGTGACAGTTGTTAACAGGGGAAAAATCTCAAATGGGAATGTATTTCTTAATATGAGGGTCAGAAAGTATTAATACAATCAGACTCATTTATTTATGGAGCCCCCAGGGGTGCAGTGGGTTAAACCCTTGTGCCAGCTGAACTTGCTGACCAACAGGTTGGTGGTTTGAATCCAGGGACAGTGAGTTGAGCTCCCTCTGTCAGCTCCAGCTTCCCATGAGGGACACGAGAGAAGCCTCCCACAAGGATGGTGAAACATCAGACATCCAGGCATCTCCTAGGCAACATCCTTGCAGACGGCTAATTCTCTCACAGCAGAAGCGACTTGCAGTTTCTCAAATTGCTCCTGACACGAAAAAATTACTTGCTTTATATATCTTTTTATAATCTGGTTAGTTCTACAGCTACTTTGTAATTGCTCTGCCTAGAGTTTTCATCTCTGGTTGTGAAAATGTTTTCTCTCTCTCTCTCTCTCTCTCTCTCTCTCTCTCACACACACACACACACACACACACACAAACACCCAGGATGAGTAATGTCCTATTAGCAGAACTAATAGAAGCAGAGTTCAGCTCGTGGGGAGAACAAGTGTCTGAGTGCCAGCGAAAGCTACAGGGCTTAATGAAAAGGTGACTCATCTTTAAGAACAGCCTGCAAATCTCTTGATTCCCCAGGGCTTCTGGTTACTAGTCACCTGCTAACCCCACACCTATACTTCCCAAACCAATGAGGTGGACAGGTTGCATAAATCCAAGCACAGGAACATAAAAGTGATATCATGGTTAAATGGCATCTTTGAAACTCCTGTCTACGAACTGTCTGGAGGTTAAGAAAAGGTTAGAAGCCTTTCAAAGCAAAGTTGAAGAAGGAGGCAGTCTGTAGGCAGTCAGTGTTTTGTCACGAGGATGTTGAGGTTCTTAGAGTTCATTCTGGTCACGGAAATTCTCAAGAGCACACCTGTTTAACGCAAGGCCCACGGGCCAAATCTGGCCTGACATATCATTTTTCTGTGGCTTCAAGGCTTTAGTTGCATTTAAAGTCTTGCAATTGTAAAACAGCCATTTAGAGGCAACCATAAGGCTGATGTGGCCCTTAGTGAAAATGAGTTTGATCCGCCTGCTCCAGAGGGTATTTTTACTGAGATCAATTGCATCTCTGTTTGGTGTGTTTTAAATAGCATTTTCAGTTTCCTGAACTGTCATTCATAGATAAATATACATTTTGGGGGTGTGTGTGGTAGATTCTAATAAAGCAGAATACCATTTGGGAGTCAAATGACATTTATAAAATAGCCATGTGGGAATATCTTGAATATTGACTTCAGAGTGAATCCCTAGTCAATTTCCTCTGTCAATATCCCTTTAAGAAACTTTGAGTATATAATTAGGCCCTCTTTTAGAAGATACAGTTATAGTACTATATCTTCCAAATGGCCACGGTAACATAGTAGTTAAAGCCACCAGCTGCAGGAAAGGCTGCTGACTAGTGGGTCAACAATTCAAAGCAGCGAGTCAGGGTGAGCTCCCAATTGTCAAGAGCCCTAGCTTTTGTCAACCTAGCAGTTCAAACGCATGCAATGTGCGTAGATCAATAGGTACTGCCTTGGTAGGAAGGTAAAGGAGTGCCCCTTGCAGATATGCCAGCTAAAAGATTGGAGATGTCTATGACATTGCATCCAGATGCTGTAAATAATGTTTGAATTGGAAGGTTTGGTGAAGATGTACTTGATGGTGCATGTTTTCCTATTTAGATCAATAGCAAGCTCTGACTTAGAACACAACAAATGTGTTTTTGTGCTGTGAGCTTTTGCAAATCTGTTTTTATAATCTGAAACCACTCATTTGGGGCTATTTAGCTGTCTGAGCCCATCATAAGCTTTCATTAAGTTTCATGGCACAGAATGGCTCTGATTCATTTGCAGAAAGCAGAATAGTAGTATACTAGTCAATACACAGCAGTGTGCCTTTATCAGAATTCCCTTAAAGATAGATAATTGTGAGGCTATCTTACAGTCATTTGAAACTGATCCAGTTGGTTTTCCTTTGTGTTCATTATAATCAATTTGTAAAGGGGTGCAATTGTGTCTTCTATCTTTTTTTGATTGCTCTTTAGTTCTAGCAGAAACCTCTCTTGACAAAACTTAACATGCCTCAAGATTTAATTAGGTATCCTGCACAAATGAGTGACTTCCCTGACCCCCAAAGCCCTATTAATGTGTGTTTCCTTCTTTGTTTTCTTTCCTTCCAGGAGGTTATGAAACCTTTTATTCCCAGTATCCTGAATTCTGTATAGACGTAAAGCCTATATCCCAAGAGAAGCCGGAAACGGAAAGAAGCGGCAACAGCCTCAGCGAGAAGCAGTGCATCCAACACAAGCCAGCATATGATCAGGTGTGTTTCAGGGAAGATATGACTAATCCCACCCACGCTTGGGCTCCTTGGGGGCTCGTTCTGTCATCACCCTCTTCCTAACTAAGTGGTTCACTCTTTCCATTCATGTCTGGTAATGTGGGAAGGGAAAGAAGTCAATATCTATCTTTGTCGTGTTTCAAATAATGGTACAGAGTGTGCAATGCACTTTTGCAGACAAACAGCCTTCAGCCAACAGACTGGAGGAGTGGCCTGAAATCAAAGGTGCATAGTAGCATGGTATTTCCCCTCTTTTCCCATATACTGTTTTTCTCAGAGAGGTTAAAGGAAGTTGCTTATTGTGTTCTGAGCATGAATTAGCCTTTTCATTTTCTGCAATGACTTCTGTGCTCTCAAGATTTGGTAATACCCTGGTTGCTTCAAGTCTTCCATCCATGAGTGGATTAGCCAATAAGGTTGCTATGCAAGTCCCACTCATCCAAATCTTTTAAAGGGCAGACCTTCTACTTCATTACATTAGAGAATAAATCCACTTTAAATCCGGTTTCTGCCTCCTGCAGAATTTCTAGGGTTTGTAGTTTAGGGAGGCTGTTAAAGCCTCCTCCTTAAACTACAAAACCCAGAATTCTGCAGGAGGCAGCAACTGGTTTTAAAGTGGATTCATTCTCTGGTGTGATGAGGCCCTCTGACGCCATTACCGAAAGCATAGCAGCAGCTCTGAACTGCCACCTTGACACAAATTGCCATCTTTTGCAAAGTGCTTCCTGTCTAGTTTTCTGTTCTCGCTGATTGTAGTGATGTCTGGAAATCACCTCAAATGATTCCCTACAGTCCTTTGACTGAGGAAATTAAATGTCGCAAAGCAACACTAGTAATTATGTGGGTTTTTTTGCTTTCCAGGGTGGCCCAGTGGAAATCTTGCCTTTCCTGTATCTCGGCAGTGCCTACCACGCTTCCAAGTATGAGTTCTTAGCCAATCTGAACATCACTGCACTCTTGAACGTCTCCAGGAAGAGCTCTGAGCCCTTTACAGGCCAGTACTGCTATAAATGGATTCCTGTGGAAGACAGCCATACAGCAGACATCAGCTCACACTTCCAGGAGGCAATCGAATTTATTGGTAAGTGAGTTTTTTTAAAGGGTAACACCCACATCACTTGTGGCCACCACAATCAGGAATAATAATAGTCTTGTTTACATTAATGGCAACAATGAGGGACAAGGAACTTAAAATCAGTGCTTCAGATTTTTTTAAAAAATATGTCAGAAATGATTTGAGAGCATACTGCAAGTCACTTCTGGTGTGAGAGAACTAGCCATCTACAGAGCAGTTGCCCAGGGGACACCTGAATGTATTAGCTTGGAGACTTCTCTCATGTCCCCGCAAACTAGAGCTGACAGACGGGAGCTCACCCATCTTGTGGATTCAAACCAGCAACTTTTAGGTCAGCAGTTCAGCCAGCACAAGGCTTTAACCCGTTGCGCCACCGCGGCTCATAGTGCTTAGGATCATTGTAAAGGAAAGTGTTACCAATGTGAGATTCCATCTGAACATGAGGAAGAACTTCCTGACTGTGAGAGCCGTTCAGCAGTGGAACTCTCTACCTCCGAGTGTGGTGGAGGCTTTTAAACAGAGGCTAGATGGCCATCTATCAGGGGTGCTTTGAAGGCAGTATTCCTGCTTCTTGGCAAGGGGTTGGACTGGATGGCCCATGACGTCTCTTCCAACTCTATGATTCTATGAGCATGATTCTAGAAATATTTTGGTCACTCACATGGAAACTCCAACTCTTTCCCAACCTACCGGCTGTTAGGAATTGTGGGAGTTGAAGTCCAAAACACCTGGAGGGCTGAAGTTTACCCATGCCTACAAGAAACCATTTTGAAAAGAACTTAGTAGTCCTACAACAACAAAAGTTAAATGATGCTAAGCAGAATACCTCATGCGGTGTCCATCTAATAACTCTCTTTGACAGTATCCAAAACCTTGAACATTCATTTCTCAAGATAGCCAAATTAGGGCAAGTTCTATTTTTCATCCACACATATACCGCCCAAGAAGCTTATTTTCAGCAATTTCTTTTTTAATCTTGTAACAATAATTGAATTGTGTGAGTAACCTTGAGGTCTCCTATTGCGTAAAATGGTACTTCTGCCTAAGCCATTTATAGCCTGACTTCAGTCCAAGTACCACTTATCATGGGTTGTAATTAGAGATTTAAGACTCGTTTATTGTGCACTTTGTAGTGGAAACCCCAGCAACCTGGGACTTGACATCCCTGCTTCAAACCCATGCTGAGTGCCTACTAAAAAGCCCACAAGGTGGGCACAAAAGCGCCACTGTTCATGCTCTGAGCCAACCAGAAACGTCCACATGTCTCATGTCATTGGAGGGAGTGTGCAGTACACCCACACTTTTTACTGCTGTGCTGCCTCTGAAAAGATCCTAGATGTGCTTTGTGGTATTGTAGTATTTGTCCTCTCCTGCTGCAGTGGGGGAAGGACAGCTCTTATCTTCTCCACTACCACATATCTACTACTACATGAGTATTGGGAATTATGGGGTATTGACCACGGTAGTCCACACTCTAGTTACATCCTGAATAGACTACTGCAATGTGCTCTACATGGAGCTGCCTTTGAAGACTGTTCGGAAGCTACAAATGGTCCAGATTGCTCACTGGAGAGACGTACAGGTGAGGAAGGGGAGCATACAACTCCCCCTGTTACGTCAGCTCCACTGGCTGCCAATCTGCTACCGATCACAATTCAAAGTGCTGACTTTTTCTTATAAACTGGTTCTGGCTCAGTTTATCTGTCCGAACATATCTCCCTCTATGAAGCACCACAGAGTTTAAGATCATCTGGGGAGGCCCTGCTCTTTGTCCCACCTTCCTCACAGTCACGATTGGCAGAAACAAGAGACAGGACCTTCTCAATGATGGCCCCTCGGCTGTGTAACCACCTCCCCAGGGATATTAGATCAGCCCGCTCCCTTCCTGACCTTCCACAAGAGAGTGAAAACATGGCTTTGTGACCAAGCCTTTAGAGAACTTGTTTGATAGATAGACTCAGAACAATGTGCAATGACCATTGTAACAGCCTGGGTTATGATAGTGGATTATGTGTTTAACTCTGAATGTATTGTTTTAAAATGTTTTAATTGTTTTCAAGTACTTTTTAATTCTATTTTAATATTTATTTAAGTGTACATTGTGTTTTAAGGCATCGAACCGTTGCCTGTATGTAAAGCCGCTTTGAGTCCCCTCTGGGGTGAGAAAGGCGGGGGAGAAATGTCATAAATAAATAAATATCAAGATTAGTTATTTGAATAAAAATGATAAGTGCCAAAAAGTAAAATTCATTTTCTGGCTTGCTGAAATGAACTTCCATTTATGTTTTCATTGTGTGCACACAACCTGTATGAAATCAAGTTGGGAAATCGGATTTAGAAAAATCATTTAAATAATGATAGACTATCATTGCTGTGTGACAACAACCTTCATCAAGCATTTTACTATTTTTTTATTTCTCCAGACTGCACCAGACGGGAAGGAGGCAAAATCTTGGTACACTGTGAAGCTGGCATTTCCCGCTCTCCCACGATCTGCATGGCGTACCTCATGAAAATGAAGAAATTCCGATTGGAGGAGGCATTCGATTACATCAAACAACGTCGGAGTCTGATCTCACCAAACTTTGGCTTCATGGGCCAGCTCCTCCAGTACGAATCAGAAATACTCTCTTCAACTCCAAGCCCTCCCGTCTCCTCTTGCAAAAGGGATGCCGTGTCTTTTTTTGCCGACGAGCTGACTCGGAGCAAAAGTTTTGAAGGCTCCTGTTTTGCATTTCCTACCTCAGTTTTGAATTCTGTGCCCCTTCACTCACCGGTCCATCAGCTGAAACTGAATCCAATCACTGCGACGTCACCCTGCTGGACCATCTTGGGAGCAAGGGACAATACAATCCCATGAAAGACTATTATGAAGACATTTCATCTATGTCATGTTTCACCCAAAACTAGAAACTTTGAGCAGGAAGAGAATATGTGGTTTCACATTGGCATGGAGTCATGGTTCGATGCATTTCAGCTTGGGTTAGCTATGCCATTTCAAGCTGTCTAGCTAACTCCTGCTTTTCAGCTTATCTTATTCTAGGATTTTAATTTGAACTCTTTAAGCTATTCTTCCTCCACTTCAACTACTATTCATTATGGTTATGGATACATATTTAGCTCACGTAGGTCAAGCTTTTCAAAAGAGTGAATGTCACTAATGAAAGAAAATGTGTACATTTTCAAGGTTATTTAAAATGATTTCTGGAGTGTCTGTGCATCCACTACTGTATTTCCATACCATGCTGGAGTATAGAACCACGTTTTCAAAAAGTCACTCAGATTGTCCCGTTGCTTCTAAGTTCATGCTTCCCTCTCTCTCAAAATCATAGCCTTGGTTTAAAGTGCAAGCAATAAACAGCTGTATCAGGAGAGCAAAGCTATAATGCGAAGCACAATGTCCAAGAGAAGCAAAGCCTGACATCTTTGGTAGTGGCACAAAACTTGAACCTTTGTCGCCTTCTTTGTGTGGATTCTTTTCTTTTTTTAATGTCATGTTCTGTAAGAGATAAATGGTTTTGAAAGAAAAAAAATCATTTTCTTCGCATCCACCAATTCTATATCACTTATTGTTGTACAACTGTGGTCAGGGTCTGAATTCCATCCTTCCCTGGGACTGAGTTACATACTTTCTGTGTTAGGTTAACAGACTGCAAAGCAGGACTACACAAAATATGTCCAAAAAACTATGTAGAGGTCCTCTATTTTAAGGGTCTGTCTAAAATAGTAAAATGATCTGTCTAAAGAGCCACCAGTGGTGCAGCAGGTTAAACTGCTGAGCTGCCAAATTTGTTGACCAAAAGGTCAGTGGTTCGAATCCGGGGAGCAGGGTGAGCTCCCGCTGTTAGCCCCGGCTTCTCCCAACCTAGCAGTATGAAAACATGCAAATTTGAGTAGATTAACAGGTACTGCTTCGGTGGGAAGGTAACAGCTCTCCATGCAGTCATGTCGGCCACATGACCTAGGAGGTATCTATGGACAACGCCAGCTCTTTGGCTTAGAAATGGAGATAAGCACCAACCCGCAGAGTCAGACACAACTAAATATCAAATGGAAATCTTTACCTTTACTTAAAATATTTCGATCATGCCAAAATTAAGTTGTTGAATTGTATTTAGTTTGAATACTACATGTAGAACAAGTTATGTCTGGCTTAAATCTCATTGATTTGAATGGCTTCAATTGGCTTCAAATTAGTTTCTTTTTTACTTACCTTCCCATAGGGAGATAACTAAAATTCATCCTGCAAACAGTGCATTTAGAAATGCTGGCATCTCTAAGATGCCCCAATAGCTAGATGTAATGGGTTTGTTCCCATTTTGTCCTATTTGGCAAGTAATGCTTGCAGTGTTGGTGAGGAGTGTGATGCTTGAACACTCCCAGGTACTTGAAAGATGTATTGATAACATAAGTAAAGGATAGACCACTGTGATGATCTCCTTTTTTTGGAGGGGAGATTCAACTGCCATTAGCTTTAGCCAGCTTAGCTAGTAGTGAGGCATTATAGAAGTAGCAGGCCAAAAACACCTCAAGGGGAACATTGTTCACACAATTTGCTATGCTTATTTCATTCCTAGCACCTAGGTCTGGAAAAGACCAGGGTGGATTTTGCAAAACATGAGAATATGTTTTGTATTTGGCACAGTTAGAACTGATAACACAAGCTGCCATTTCCTTTGAGCCAGGAGTCTGCAGATGTTACCAGATTGTGTCTTCATACCATTTTTACATATTCGTGGCTCAATACACAAATGCAAAGGCAATCCCATAGTGACTGGCTATTTAAAGAAATATCTTATGAAGCGCACATATTTATTTACCCAGTGGATTCTTGTGCAATAATTTGGATTTCTGGAAAAGTTATGGTAAAGAAGATTGTGGCCGGAAGGGCCTTTTGCCAACAATGCTCCTTCCTTAATGAAGTGTTACCATTCTTGTTGTACTATGTGGTCTCTTCAAACGCCGTGCGGCTTTCGGATCCATGTGTTGATTTCTTCCATGTTGCAGTTCTGGATAACTTAATTCTTAGGCAGTCAGAACTTTTTAAACTGGACAGCAGTATATCCAGTTTTTGTGTCTTCAAGTGGCTCTATGTTCTGCTGTTTGTTCCATCATATTTTCCTAAATATGGGAAATGGCAATAACTGCCTGGAAAACTTGTGAATGTGAATACAGACTTTTAAACAATAAAGTTGTAAAATAATAAAAGTGAAACTTTTGCTTTGTGAATTACATGCATCACATCATCTCGTGGAAAGCATTCTGCCAGGCTTATAGGACTTGCCTGGCCCAGGAAATGCCTTCCGTAGGAGGAAAGTCTTAGCTTACACAAAATGTGTTACTGCTCAGTTTTGAGTCACTTTGGGCAAGTCACATTTTCAGCCTAAAAGGAAGGCAATGACAAAACTTTTATGAATAACCCTTTCAAAAAGGATTGCCTTTGATTAGAAATAACATGACGAAACACAAGAGCAACAGATTGCAGCACAAGTCCCTTTTGTTTTGTTTTTCTGCATCACTATCACCTCAAAATTGATTTCAAGGGAACTTCAGATAACACATAGAATTGTAGATTGGAAAAGACCTCACAGGCCATCCAGTCCAACCCCCTGCAAAGAAGCAGGAAAATCGCATTCAAAGCACCCCCGACAGATGGCCATCCAGCCTCTGTTTAAAAACCTCCAAAGAAGGAGCCTCCACCACACTCCAGGGCAGCTCTTACAGTCAGGAAGTTCTTCCTAATGTTCAGGTGGAATCTCCTTTCCTGTAATTTGAAGCCATTGCTCTGAGTCCTAGTTTCCAGAGCAGCAGAAAACAAGCCTGCTCCCTCTTTCTTATGACATCCTTTCACTTATTTTATACATAGCTATAATGTCTCCTCTCAGCCTTGTCTTCTAAAGGCTAAACATGCCCAGCTCTTTAAGCCTCTCCTCATAGGGTTTGTTCTCCAGACCCTTGATCATTTTAGTCACCCTCCTCTGGACACATTCCAGCTTGTCAACATCTCCCTTCAATTCCAGTGCCCAGAATTGGACACACACTTCCGTTCTTTGGAATTTAAAAGAACGAGATTATCTGATACTTCCTTTTTTTGTAAGACTTGGTAAGATCCAACACAGGGAGAAACAGGATATAAATTAAATAAAATGAAGATTACAAGTCAGAAAATGGGAAAAGACCAAGTTCTGTGATAATTTCTAAACCAGCTGCAGGCCAAGAACAGCTGTTTCATGTAGGAAGAGAAAGACAGATGCCTAAAGAGATAGTATATCAATGTATGCACACATGGAAACCAGAAAGAGGACTTTTTGAATCTCATGAAGTTCATGAATATTCATTTGGAGAATTTCAATTCCTCATAGGGCTTGTTCTCCAGATCCTTAATCATTTTAGTGGCCCTCCTCTGGACACATTCCAGTTTCTCAACATGGGTTAAACCCCTGTGCTGGCAGGACTGAAGACAGACAGGTCGCAAGTTCAAATTCGGGGAGAGGCGGATGAGCTCCCTCTATCAACTCCAGCTCCTCGTGCGGGGACATGAGAGAAACCTCCCACATGGATGATAAAAACATCAAAATCATCTGGGCGTCCCCTGGGCAACATCCTTGCAGATGGCCAATTCTCTCACACCAGAAGCAACTTGCAGTTTCTCAAGTCGCTCCTGACACGACAAAAAAAAAATCTCCCTTCAATTGTGGTGCCCAGAATTGGGCACAGTATCCAGGTGTGGTCTAACCAAGGCAGAATAGAGGGGTAGCATTTGACTTCCCTTGATCTAGACACTATACTCCTATTGATGAATGCTAAAATCCCATTGGTTTGTTTGTTTGTTTTTTGGCCACCCCATCACATTGTTGGCTCATGTTTAACTTGTTGTCCATGAGGACTCCAAGATCTTTTTCATACATACTGCTCTCGAGCCAAGCGTCCCCCATTATGTATCTTTGCATTTTACTTTTTCTGCCTAAGTGGAGTATCTTGCATCTGTTCCTGTTGAACTTCATTTTGTTAGTTTTGGCGCATCTCACCAATCTGTTAAGATTGCTTTGAATTCTGCTCCTGTCTTCTGGAGTATTGGCTATCCCTACCAATTTGGTGTCATCTGCAAAATTAATGATCATGACTTCTAAGCCTTCATCTACGTCATTAATAACGATGTTGAACAGGACTGGGCCCAGAACGGAACCCTGTGGGACTCCACTCATCACTTCTTTCCAGGATGAAGAGGAAGCATTGGAGAGCACTCTCTGAGTTCGTTAGCTTACATGTTGGTTTGAGGAGGGGAATAATAATAATAATAATAATAATAATAATAATAATAATAATAATAAATGGATGTGGCTCACAAATGGAACTCTGAAAAAGGAGACGGAGGGCCTGATTCTGGCAGCCCAAGAACAAGCCATTAGGACCAATGCCATCAAAGCCAGAATTGACAGATTCCCAAATGTAGACTCTGCAAGGAAGCAGATGAAACAATAGATCACATCCTCAGCTGCTGCAAGAAGGAGGTGAAGCAGCAGTCAGGAGGCTTGTTGTCACAGCCTCTCTTCTTCCGACATCCCCGTTGCCTCAACATTATAAGAGGGTTTCGCGAGACCAGCCGTTCTCATTGCAATGGTGCAGTAACTGTGAGGTCACGGACCACATTTTAGTTCTTGGACCTCAGGTTGGGAACCACTGGTATATGGTCAAAGCAGTGTTTGAATATAAACCCAAAATTGAGGCGATAATTCATTTTCTGGCCTGCAGTTCCCAGAATCCCCAGACTGAGCCAGCTGGAAAATCCCAAGAGGTATAGGCCAAACAAAATAACTTCTCCTGAAATCTCAGTTTATATTCTGCTATTTTTTCAATATATCACTAGAGATAAAGATGAGGAAGCACTTGTAACATCACCACCCTTTTAAGGTTAGTACCAAGCGGGTGGAGAGAAATAGTGAACTCATCCTTTCTGCTGAGGACAAGCACTTACCACACCACACGAATTGGGGTGTTGAGTTTGTGCAGAGGAAGTCTTCTCAGCAGTCATACACACTTCACTTCACTGACATTTGTGCTCTATTGCACTGCTGGTTTGTGTGGAGAGATGAGTAAATTCGCTAAATAAAGAACATGAATACAGCTCAGGAAGTTGGTTGAGTCATCCAAATGAATCAAAATGAGATGCCACCACCAATAATTTGGAGTCCGAACAGCAGCATCTCATTTTGTTCTATGGCTGCAATCTTTTTAATGGATGGGGCCATTTTCCTATTACAAAGAATATCGCTATTCATAGGATACAGTAGGCCCATGGGATAAATTCCATTTCCCCTTAATGCATTTCCCCCTTGTCAGTGTCCTAGTATATGTACAAACTATACAGGCAATTTGCGATAGACACATTGAATTTGCTGCCTCGTCACTATCAGAACCATGGCTGGTTTCTGCTTTTCCATTTCATCATCAAGAGAGTTTTAAATCTTTAAGAGCAACTTTTAACAATCCTTCCCTTTTGCAGGTTGCCAAAATGTATCTGTTTTCATTCTTTCACCTTTTGAAGTAACTTTGTAATAAATCCCAGAGCCCCCGGTGGCACAGTGGGTTAAACCGCTGAGCTGCTGAACTTGCTAACCAAAAGGTCGCAGGTTCGAATTTGGGGAGCGACGTGAGCTCCTGCTGTTAGCCCCAGCTTCTGCACACCTAGCAGTTCGAAAACATGCAAATGTGAGTAGATCAATAGGTACCGCTCCGGTGGGACGGTAACAGCGTTCATACAGTCATGCTAACCACATGACCTTGGAGATGTCTACAGACCACACAGGTTCTTCAGCATAAAAATGGAGATGAGCCCCAACCCCCAGAGTTGGATACAACTGGACTTAATTTCAAGAGAAAACCTTCAACCTTGTAGTAAATGGCAAGCAGTTTGCAGGGTGAACACAGAGGGTAATTTTCAGTGCTGCTATTTAATTACATAACTTAAAGATACAGTCTATATTTACTTGAGAGATAACCCTATTTAACTTCATGGGAATTCCACTGTCTTTAGTGTAATCAATTTGCCATCTTCAAGCAGCTGCAGAGTTGCCTGACGGTACGACTCCTGCAGATGATTCAATGAGGCATAAATACCCTAAAGACATCAAATCCTGTCTGATTTCGGAAGCTAAACAGGGTTAGCTCTGGTTGAATTTGAGAGTAGCCATGAATATTAGGTGCTATAAGCTTTATTTCAGAGTAAGGAACTGGCTGAACCACCTCTGACTGCTCTTACCTAAGAAAACCTTATGATATTCATGGGGTCACCATAAACCCACAGGCAGCTTAATAAGATGACAGTTGGTGTTGCATCCCAGGCCTGAGAGCATCTATGGCTACAGCACCACACAAGAGTCCAGAATATAAGCAAACATTTTATTGTAAAAACATATTTAAAAGTATAGGAAAAAATCAGGACTAAAGAAAAAAAGATATATAATTCAAAAAGATTAGCAATAGGTGATAATCCAACAGGAATCCAAAAGTCTTTTTCCGATTCAAAGGCTGAGAAGAGACATGATAGCAATGTATAAAATATGTGAAAGCATGTCATAAGAAAGAGGGAGCAGGCTTGTTTTCTGCTGCTCTGGAAACTAGGACTCAGAGCAATGGGTTCAAATTAAAGGAAAGGAGATTCCACCTGAACATTAGGAAGAACTTCCTGACTGTAAGAGCTGTTCAGCAGTGGAACTCTCTGCCCCTGTGTGTAGTGGAGGCTCCCTCTTTGGAGGTTTTTAAACAGAGGCTGAATGGCCATCTGTCGGAAGTGCTTTGAATAAGATTTTCCTGCTTCTTGGCACGGGGTTGGACTAGAGCCCACAAGCTCTCTTCCAACTCTTCACTTAGGCAATCCCTCGTAGTCTGAGGATGATGGTCCTCCAAGTTTGGTGTTCTGGCGGTGGGTCCGTAGGTGACTGTGGAGCCCTATTCTTGATCTGCATCTTCTCCCACAGTGAGGGCATCGGTTTCCAGGTGGAAGGTGGTCTCAGTCGGGGTTGGCTTGATTCTATGATTCTATAATTCTATGAACTTCATGAGATTCAAAAAGTCCTCTTTCTGTTTCCATGCATGCATACATTAATATACCATCTCTTTAGGCATTTGTCTTTCTCTACCTACATGAAACAGCTGTTCTTGGCCTGCAGCTGGTTTAGAAATTAACATAGAATGTTGTGGTTTGGCCTTTTCCT